TTTCTCGGACCAATCTTAATTGCTTTATAACCCTACACGCAGAACTTTTCACTGCCAGTTCAAGAAAGACATTTGGGTCACTAACACACAAAAAAGAGAATGTCTCACATCGAGAGTATTTAACATCGAAAAACATAAAGGAAAATATTAATCATTTTTAATAATATATGGAAATCGCCTGATGAAGGACGCGAGACCGGAAACCCGTGTAGGAATATTATGTAAAATAAAGCATAATATTTAAAAAAAAACAAAAACATTACCACCAAAAACGTTTGCGGTTTCGCTCTTCTTTTTAATATACACACTTTTCTCTCGTTGGAACTACTATAAACTCTTCCTTTTATATATATATATATATATATATATATATATATATATATATATATATAAAAGTTGCAAAAAAATAATAATGTTTTTTATGAAAGCAATAACTAAATAAACTAAATAAGTTATTTCTGAAGAAAGATTGAGGTCAATCTGAAATATCAAATATATATATAAATAAATAAATACTTTCATAAAAAAAACATTATTATTTTTTTACATATTAAGAAAGTATACGTGGCCTCTCATTATGCTATATATATATATATATATATATGTATACTTTTCATTAAATTAGATTTAGAAATTATTAGTTAGCACCTAAGCATAATCAAATGTATGGTAAGGGACCATTTAATATTTGATTTCGTTAAGTGTTTCTTAAATACACTCAAGTATTTGTTTATAGGTACATTCGTATATAAAGATTTTATGTTTAAACTGACCGTAGATTTGTTTTTGTTTTTCATATCTCTACCTTTTACTCTGTTAACCCTGAGTTTTCAATGTGTGATGGACTAATGTGACAAGCAAAAGAGATAATGTTTTAGCTAATGTATTCGCAGCGCTACATATTCCTGGTACTATCGACCTTATTGGAATAAAAGGGAATGGGGTGAGAATTTCCTGACGTGAACAAAACGGAAATCTCGAATATGTTTCGATATTTGTTCATTTTCTATGATTTTTTAAAATAGTTTTCGAAAATGGTTTTAGCTGAGAATATTCAAAATCTAGTCGAACCCATACTGTATAGAAATATATTCTTCCCAGTGTGGGTGTGGGGATACTTATTATCACCTCTGGCCTCAGACTGAATTAATTTGCAAGTCTTCCGTTTTTCATCCGAATACATATGTGTTCCAAGTGAATAGACAAATATATAATTCAATTTTACAACCAGATATTAATATATACATCAGGCAGAGCCATTCGGGTTTGTTCGGGAACTTAACAGTGTCATTATATGTACCGCCAAAAAAACATATATTGTATCTGGTGTACAAATTGTTCAGGAAATATATAGAAAGTTTTGCTAAGAAAGAACACAAAATTATAATTACCTACATTGAGGAAATATGTCACGAAAAATATCATCGCAATCAGACATTAATTTAAAAAAAGTACAGTTCACAACAGGCAGCCATCGATGAGATGACCAACTCCCGCAATTATTCAGTCGAAAGGACGTTTGTCTTTCCTCAAGACAACACCAGATCTCACATTTTTCAGAGCCTAGAAGGAATTGTTAGAGATCGATTGGGAGATCCTAGTCATGAATATTCATTAGGTGGTTCAAAGGTCAGTCAAAACATGTGGAGGGCACAAAGTGACATAATGCAATGTCTAGCACGACAAAAGTGAGTAATATTCATGAAACTCTTTGCTATGGTCTGTATAAAACTGTTGTATATAAACACGTGCAACAATATATATATATATATATATATATATATATATATATATATATATATATATATATATATATATATATATAGGTATAAGTGCAGGTATGCAGAAAATAGAAAAAAGACGTTGGGTGCATAATTGGGGATACTTAGTATTTTTGTTTTTATTTTTTAAGAAGACAGTGCTCCATACAGAAGTAGAGCTTTATTATAATAATATTTTTTGTTTAAAAATGATGGACAATAATAAAAGACAATTCTCCAGACACATAACGACTTGTAGGCGCGCCATAAAAATATCCCTCACTGGGAACCAACTAAGGGGTGACTGCAAACATTAGCCTTGAAATAGATACCTTACCCAACCTTAGAAAAACCTCTCTGAAGATGATGAATCTATTGATAAGAATTAAATCTCTGACCACTTAACAAAGAAAAACAGTCTAGCCACGCCCACAATAACGAATTTTGTAACGGACTATGCCTAAAAACACACGTAAACCGAGAGATAGCTTATTCCTAAAATTTCGCTTGAAGATGAAACGGGACTAAACACCTCAATTCAACTTAATTTTAATAATATTTGGATGGTTTCGGCTCTCGTTTTTGAAACATGAGAACTCTTATGTAGCGAAGGAATCATATTTTGAAACAAAAAATATTATATATATATATATATATATATATATATATATATATATATATACCCAAATGAGAAAGAAGCAAATGGAGTAAAATTCCTCTGTTCGTAGCATTTACTTTAAAAATGTAGAGCAATATATTATTATTATTTTATTATAAAAGATTATAATAAAAACATATTGAAAAGGCTACACAAAAGCTTCCATGTTTCAATACCTTGATTGTACTTCAGGGGAAGGTAAGTAAGGCTATTACATTAAAGTATATATATATATATATATATATATATATATATATATATATATATATATATATATATAAAAGAAAAACATACCACTTTAAGGTACCATTATAATAATTATAATAATTTATTTCGTCAGAGCCCATTTAAAGGACGCCGGATCATCAGATAGCACTTCCAAAAATGAAATGAAGCGAAAACGGTAGGATGTTTCTGTCGCACGGAGGAGATCTGCTGCCTTGATTTCTGCGTAGACGAGACATGTAAACTCGCGTTATCACGCCTCTATCTTATTTTCTGGATGATTTGTCTTTCGTATCTTTGAATTATTTCGAAGGAGGTATCCTATTCGTAGGTGTATAATATCAGGGCTATTCTTCTGCCATTTTGTTCTGAATCATGCAGTAGACTCCGGTGGGGCCTCTCGATGCCATGAGAGATGGCACTGTTACAGCCGTACCTCCGGCCAATGCAATCCTGCTTATTTATACATGCATCTCCTGCGAATGTGACTGTCTCAGTATCTAGTCTTCACACGGGAAACACTACTATGAACATCACTAAAATGAACAAATTCAGCAAACCCAACTTAAAAAAGTAGACCCTAGATATATCATGTCCTACACCAATGTAGATAGGTCTACATTCTATCTTTACAGAGGTGGAACTTTTCAGGCCAGAACTCCACCTCTTATTTCAGTCGGAAATTGGCATAAATAACTCAATCCTACTGCAGAAGCTCACTACTAATAGCCAAACACGACCACCTAAATCGTCCCGGTCACGGATTTGGCGCCTTCATAAAGGAAGGCTTTCCCTATGGTAGAGACAAAAAACAAGGACATTGATTTTTCATACATCTGCTTCCGTGTCCTACTTATATACAGTGCTGCATTCATTTTCTCTCTCTATTGTCCTCAGGACATTGGGACGGTAATTTTCGACAGAATATCAAAGAGGAGTGATATTATCCTCATTGAATTTCCCTCAGATAGCGTCTATATTTTTCGGGACTTCAATTGACGTCGAAGAGTGGTTAGTCCAATCAAACAAAACCGATGAAGAAGGCAAATATTGCAGAGATTTCTCTATCACCTATGAACTAGCTCAGATCATTGAAGAACCTACCCGCTTTCCTGATCTGACAGGAAATCAGGTGAACCACCTTGACCTCGTCCTCCCCCAGCAACGTCAGACCGTTCCCTAGTCAGTGTCCATATTGATGCCAAACTAAAGGCATCCCTTGATTTGCTGTTCCTTAGAACAATTTTTCGATACATGAAGGTAGACTGGGACAACATTAGATCAGCATCATCAAGCTTCTCTCTCAAACTTCATCAAATATGCTTCCCCCGAATCAGTTACCCTTATCTCAGAATATACCCTTTCTGGAATTGAAACATTTGTACCCCCAAAAAACGCCTATCAAAACCCGAACAGTTAGCCCTGGTTCACTCCAGAATGGCCATAGTTCACACTAACCACTACTTCAATGTCTATCGCAAGGAGCAGTGTAGTTTGACTCTTACTGAATTCAGAATTTCTTGCAATCGCTTCAAGAATGTTCTGGAAATTCAACGTGCGGCTATGCAGAATTGATCTAGACCTAGGTTGAAAGCAAACAAATTGTATCCCTAGAGTTCTGGAAGGCCACCAAACAAATTATGAATAGAGGCAAAGTGTCTGTACCCTATATTATAAATGGTCCCGTCAGATAAGGCTAAGCTATTGGTTTCAATCTTTGCCACTACCCCAACAATAAAAGACATTGGACATCCCCTTCTCAAATTCCCCGTCTCACTGAACGTTTTCAAGAACGCTGCCGAGCGCTCACCCCCTGTCAGTATAGACATATCAGTCATCTCCGTGTAATTAGCAGGAAGGTTGTTGATCCCCTTAGAAGGAACAAACTCTAACAGAGCTCTACGGCTTTCGACCGGTCCTCACTTCCCAGTATCAATTGTGTTCAAAAGCATTTCAGCGCCCTTGTGGGGGGGGTACAAAATATTTTCCATACCTGCAACCCCACTCACAGACGAACTATCACAAGTTCCTCACTTCAGTATCGCTGCTTACATGGAAAGTGCTGAGACGAACTACATTCCACCAGTTATAAACTTCACGGCTTGGACCTACCATTCTACGTGTATTGTGGCGAACAACTGCACTGTAGACCCGACGCCTAAGTGGATATTTTCCAGATTATTACAATCTTAACCATTTCAGATATAGGGTTAAACGTTATCTTTCCAACATATCCACATAAAGTGTGCCTCTTAATCTGTAACCCTCTACCTCGAGTGGCTCACGTGTATTGTACAGGGCGAACATCACTGTAAAAAAACAAACAAACCAGTCCTGTTTGTCTTTATCCCTCCTAGATTCATATCCATCTATCTTATAGACTATTCATCTATCGCAATCTGTTTCGTATCTATCTATCTATCTATCTATCTATCTATCTATCTATCTATCTATCTATCTTTTCCCAATGCCTATATTTCATCCAATAGATATAAATCTTTATAGTTGTAATCCTCTACGTGAAAGCTTATTTTGCAGTCATTTCTCTGATGCACGAGATATGGAATGAGAAAGCGTACCGACCCGTTGTTCTCGTCTCTGACCTACAATTGCACTGACCGACACTGTTGGTCATTGTCTGCAGTGAATCACGGATTATTTTGTCACTTTCCTGATAACTGTTACATTCATCTCCATGGCGCCACACATTGTTTCGGAAGCAGTAAATAGGAACCAAAACAAAATAAAATAAAACTGACATGAAGATGAATATAAATTACTGTCAATGACATAAAATCGCCGCGTCGAGTGCAACATAGAGTAAGAATAACCATAATAAGAATCATAATATAATTCTGTTTGTTCCTAGGTTTCTTATTTAGCATGCACATTACACTCTACACCCAGCCCGCAAATGCCCTGCTATTCGAGCAGCGGACAGGGTAAAAGTTTAACCCTTTGTGTAACATCAGGCAAACCTTAATGTCTGCTACAGCAAAATTGAAAACTCATTGGGGCATATTGAAGCTGTATAAATGTGTCTAAAGAAAGAAAGAAAGAAAGAAGGAAAGAAAGGAAGGAAGGAAGAAAGAAAGAAAGAAAGAAAGAAAGAAAGAAAAGAAAGAAAGAAAGAAACGATTGAAGAGGTGATACTGGTCATAATGTCTGCTACAACGAAATGGAAAACCTCGCTCTGGAATACGTTTAAGCTGCATAAATATGTTTTAAAAAAGAAAGAACGAGAGAAGAAAGAAAGAAAGAAAGAAAGAAAGAAAGAAAGAAAGAAAGAAAGAAGCGATAGAGGAGGGGATACGGGTCCTGATGTCTGGTGCAGAGAAACCTGTATAAATATGTTTATAAATATGCTTAAAGAAAGAAACAAAGAAACAATAGAAAAGGTGATACCGGTACTAATGTCTGCAAAAGGGAAGCTGTATAAATATGTTTACAGAAAGAAAGCAATAAAGAAAGCAAGCAAACAAGAAAGAAAGAAAGAAAGAAAGAAAGAAAGAAGCGACAGAAGAGGTGATAGTGGTTCTAATGTCTTCTACAGCAAAATGGAAAAACTCTCTCTGGATTATTTTGAAGCTGCATAAATATGTTTAAAGAAAGAAGGAAAGAAAGAAAGAAAGAAACGATTGAGGAAGTGATACAGGTCCTAATGTCTGCAACAGCGAAATTGAAAACCTCACTCTGGAGTATGTTGAAGCTGTATAAATATGTTTAAAAAAAGAAAGAAAAACGCCCGTAGCAAGCAAGCTAATGTAGACAAAACTCGTACACATCACTGTCTACGTAGTGCAGGTTTAAAATCTGAAACCGAAAGATGCTGCACAGGACTAATGCGTGCTAATTAGAAATTACCAAGCACACATAATGGAAAATTGTGTTAGTACAAACTGCAGATTCTGTGATAAATATCCAGAAACAATTGAGCATCTTGTATCAGGTTGGGGCGGTATTGGCACCCAATGAATATAAAACTCAGCCTGGCAGAGTGAGCAAATATTTTCACTAGAATACCTGCAACCTTTAAAGGAAAAGGAAACTGCAAAAAACTGGTTTGGATACCACCCAGACCCGGTTACGAAGATAGGACCTGTAACAATTTTATGGGACCTTACAATACACACAGACAGAACAATCATAGCTAATTACCCAGACATCGTGTACAGACCGCAAAGACAAAGTGTTCTTTCTTATTGACATGTCAGTCCCTGCAGACTTCAATGTACCTTTGAAGATCTTTAAAAAACTAAGGACCTTGAAATCGAAATTTAAAAAATGTGGCGCATCAGAATATTAACAATTCCAGTTGTAGTTGGATCGCATGGATTGATTGGAAAAGATTCCAATCGATTCATTGAAGTGATTCCTGGTAACCCCTTCCTTGAAGAAATACAAAAATATGTACTCACAAGTACAGCCCACATCTTATGAAGGTCTTTATCTATGTAAAAATGTGATTTTTTTCAAAGCTGCTCAGTGGAACATGTCATGATGCCATTTCTGACCTTAGGTCTCTGGTTGGGACTCGGAAAGAAATACACCAGATATGAAAGGAAATAAAAATAATAATATGAAGAATTTCCTCTTTGTGAATTAAATTGTACCACCATAAATATCCTGCTCAGTAACACATATCTGCTGGTACAAATGCTGCATCAAGCAGGCATACGTACCCCAGTAGAAATCCATTCCCGCCCTAAACATTTAACCCGATATCAACTGAGCCAGATATTGTGGAGTTGTAATAGACAATTTTCCCTCTCAAGAGAAATTAAATTCCATTGTTTTTCATTAGGGAAAACACTTCAAAGTTAAGTGAGTCTTTTACCAATTAGATTATGAGAATCTGCAATGAAAAAACAAATTTTAATGTCATATTTAAGAAAGGTATATCTCTTGTTGGGATATCTTTTTTATTATTATTAAGGTTTTTCCAATAAATTCCCAAGAGCCACCCATTGTAGAGTGTTACAGTGTGTTGTATTAGAGTAAGAAAGGGCAAGAAGTGATATTCTTGGTGTTATGAAGGAAAAATGATAGCTAACAATAGACTTGAAGCAGTCAAGATCTAATTAATAAATACCATTTCAAAATTCTATGGAAGATGTTAGAAGTATAGTATGGAAGTTTGCTTTAGAAGGAACCAGAAACCCAATCCTGAACAGAAATCAAAATCAGTTAAGCAAACATATCAGTTAAGCAATTAATGTATATTTTTAATCCGGCGTTATTTATTACCACAAGCGCTGAACGAGCGAACATGTACTGGAACAGATAAAACTTATACCAATGTGCATATGAAAAAAGAGAAACAGAGAAGTATAAGCAGTCAATTGCTGATACCCTTCTCTGAGAAGTGGACGGTGTAATTCGCGGAGGATCAGTCTACGAAAATCTGAAGTCGGGACACTGAAGGTTACATCAATTAGTCACAAACATATATTTATATTAACTTATATATTAATATTATATATTAATATAAAATATATATATATATATATATATATATATATATATATATATATACGGAGAAAAACAAATATCCGTACACATAAACTATAAATTTATTGTATTTCGAACTAACGAATAAACGTACTTTTCATAAAATTAACTGTACATAGGTGCATAATAACTAAATATTCATAGAAAACAAAAAGAAATAATAATTTAATAGAAATAAATCTCATCTATCGATTTTAATGGGTGAAAAAGGTATTCGTACAATACAAATTTCAGATTTTAAAACTTTTTAATTGCTTTAATACTCAAGATTATTCAAGAGGAATTTTCTAGAATGCTCTCAGAGCCTAAAAAATACATACAGAACATTCAGTAATTGATATTCGTGCAAGATGTTTATCATCATAGCAAGAGGTAAAGAATTGAAAAATTCGAAAAAAGAACTGATTGTTAAGCTCTGAAAATAAAATAAAAATTGAAGGAAAATCTCAGACAATCTTAATATTCCATTTACTACCATTATTTCATTCATTGCAACGTATAGAATAACGAAAAGAAAAATATTGAGGAAATTAATGCATCAAATGAAACAAAACCCAATGGTTACCCGTCAAGAGTTTCAGGATGATTTGATTTCATCAGGAATCTGTGTCAGTAAACGGACAATAAGCAATGAAATTCATAGGAACAGTCACACACTCCTCGGAAAAAATTCCACAGCTATGGAAAAGACACTGAGATGCTAGGTTGAAATTCCTTCGTAATAAAGAAAAATCGTATTGGGAAAGAGTATTATGGACAGACGAAACCAAAATTGAGTTGTTTAGAGGTAATTCTAGAAATCATGTATGGAGGAAAGACGGCAATGCCTTCAAACAAAAGAAGACATATCCAACAGTGAAATTTGGTGCCGGCAACATCATGGATTGGGGACGATTTTCTGCAAACATATCAGTAACTCATGGTAGAATGAATGCCGTATATTATCAAACTATTTTGGAAGCAAATTTAATGATTTCGGTGCAAAATTATGAACTTCCTCCTGATTGGATCTTCCAACAAGATATAGATCCTAAGCACACTGCAAAATCTACGAAGAAATAGCTTGCTGATAATAATGTAAATATCCTGAAATGGTCAAATCAATAACCTGATTTTAACCCAATCGAGAATCTGTGGCGTTATTTGAAAATTCAAATCAAATCGAGAGCTCCTGCAAACATTCTGAATCTGAAAACCATATTCGAAGAATAAAGGAATAAAAATATCAACTAAAATTTAAAAATCATTAAGAAATACGTGGAAAAATTGGTTGCTGTAGAAGTGAATTATGGATATTCTACAAAGTATTAAATGAAGATTATATATTCTTTTTTGTATTATACAAATACTTTTTAACACATTAAAATAGATAAATGTGAATTATTTCCATTAAATCAATATTTTCTGTTTTCTATGCATATTTAGCTATCATGAATCTGTGTACAGTTAATTATATGAAAGTATGTTTGTCCATTAAAAATTTGTATATGTAGGAATATTTATTTACACATATATATATATATATATATATATATATATATATATATATATATATAATATATATATATTTAGGTTAATAAAATAAATTATTTCACCACAGCCTTTTTAAATATGTGGATCATCAGACTTTTTAAGGTTGGATCAAAAAAATGAAAAAGAAATTTACACATTTTGATGGGCCGTATTAAAACATATGTAAATTAATTGAAATATATTACACTTTAATAATCATTATTGATGATAAAATATTTAAATTGGAAAAATTTTATATGCTTAATACGGCCCGTCAAAAATGTATAAATTTCTTTTCATTTTTTGTTTCAACATTTGGAAGTAAAGTCTGATGATCCGCAGTCCTTTAAAAGGTCTGTGGTGAAATAATTTATTACATGGAACCTTAAAGTGGTTTGTTTTTATTTAAATTATTTGTTTTGGATTTACATTGAGCTCTCTGGATTTTATCCTCCTTGGGTTTACC